AGGTCTTGGTTTTAATCCTCTGGACCAATCGAATGACGGGTTTCCCAGAGGACCCTTCCGTGCTGTGGAAAAGGAATCTAGGCACCAAAGAAACCAGCAGAAGGGCTCTTATTTTGGTGGGGGGGCATTTCCAAGGCGGGTGACGTACGTGGTGGAGGAAGCAGGACCCGATCTCACTTAAGTGAGGCTCCTCTTTGTTGTACTGTCTCTCCAGGTCCTTCAGGAACTTTCTTTGGAACTTGTAGATCTCTTCAATGTTCCCAAAGATAGTGGCAAGCTGGGCCGCCGTGAACATCCCCGTGTGCTTGCGACACTGGCGGATGTAACCCTGCAAGGGGGAGGGGGAGGGGAGAATCCACACGGCCATCTCTTAGTCGCCTGATAACCCAAAAGGAAATGACTCATCGCCATGGCCCTGAGCTAGATTTCGGTCGGAGGGAAAACGAAAACCTCTGCTGGCTTCTGCTGAGGGTCCCGGGAGGCACAGTGGGTTCCTGCTGGCTACGAACTTCAAGGTCCTAAGTTCGAATCCACCTTCTGCTCCCTAAGAGAGGAATGAGGCACTCCGCGCCTCTGTAAAGCCGGACAGTCTTGGAGACCCCCGGGAGCAGTTCTACCCTGTCCTACAGGGTTGCTGTGAGCCAGCCTCGACCCGAGGGCAGTGGGTCTGGCTCAGGCGGGCCCCTGCTGGTATTACTCTGTGGCCGGGACTACTCTGCCGCACATCGTTTAAAGGCAGCAGGAGAGGGGAAAGGGACCGATGGAGGGATCGATCATCCAAAAGACCGTGTAACGTTTCCAGATTAAACTCGTGAGTGGAGTTGCTGGGTTTTAGGTGCCAGGTCAACGAATAGGAAAAGTAACAGGATTGTCACACGTGCGCTAGCATGGGTAAGATTCCCATGCCTAATTCCATTTCACCGCGGAGGGAGCTGGTCATATACAGCTGGCCGCCCTGCTGAGTAGCTGGTTCCATGCTGTACACTGTTAACTGGTTCAAACCCACCCGCAAACAGACAAGGGCACCTCACCCTGGACATGGCCATTTCTCAGCCGCCTTCACCCAGCACCCGCACAACACGCCCGGCTTTTCATTGGAGGGCTGGGATCTGTTCTCGCTGGACAACACTACTCTTGGGCAGGGACGGACGCCAGTGGTCCAGGATGGAAAAGCTATACCTCTCTGGGATCGCTAAAAAACTGCTGCAGACACTAAGCCTGGTTCTCGTCACGAAGGAGCCTGGGTGGCGCAGTGGCTTCTCGTTGGGCTGCGAACCTCAAGGGCAGCAGTTTGAGCCTACTGGCCCCTCCTCGGGAGAAAGACGAGACTTTGTGCTCCCAGAGAGAACTCCAGTCTCGGCCACCCGCTGTGCTGTAGGGCCGCCGAGTCAGTCAACCGGACGGCAGTGAGATTCTCTTGCCCTGGAGTCCAGAATCTTACTGCTGGACCACACTGCCGCCACCGGGGGTATGCGGGAGGGGCACCGGCAAGAGCCAACTGCCTGGAGAGGGTGGTCTGCGCCAGGCCGGATGGGCCTGAGCCAAGGCGCATGCAAACCCCCACCCCGGCCCCCCCAGCACTCACCTCACAGATGTCCTGCAGGTGCTTGATGTACACGCGCTCCGTGTTCATGATCTCCTGGATCACGTTGGTCCTCATCTGCGGCTTGTTTTCGGAGTGCTTGGGGCGGCCGTGGCCAGGCCCCTGCTCGCGCTCCTCGCCCGGGGTGCTGGGGGAGCTCTCCGGCTGCTCCTCCTGGTTCACTCGAAGCTGCAGGCAACACGACACAGGTGGGGGGGTGGGGGTGGCGGCTGATTTAGGGGCCAGCCGTCCCCTGGGCCACGGGCTGGGCTGGCGCCGCCTGCCTGCCTCACCCTCCCTCCTTAGGGCTTCCGCCAGGTCGGATACGAGGGGCTTCGTTCGGGAGGTTTGGGGAGAGGGGCCGTTTTCTTCTCATTCCATGCGCTCTTGGAAAGGCTCCCGCCCTCCCACCCACTGGGCCCGCTCTGGATTCAGAGCCATGAGGGCAGAGCGGGTTCTGGCAGCATGACTCTGTCATCCAACCCCCCCCCACCACCACCACCACCACACACACACACACTCACCCTCACAAAGCTGGCAGGGAACCAGGCTTCCTTGTCCTCGTTCCGGCCCCACCACCAGTCCTTGTTGGCGGCCTCCAGCACCTGGATGACATCTCCGGCCTTGAAGCCCAGCTCCTGGTCATCCATGGTCACGTGGTCCCACAGGGCTTCGGCGCAGACCACACTGCCATCGCTGATGAGCTGGAGGGGCGGACACGGACACGCGGCCGGCTCAGCACGGGGTGGGGACACGCAGGGGGCAGGGGGCCGGGGGCCTGTCCCGAGCTCTGTGCTGCCCTGCTCACCGCAGGGCTGGCACCAGCGTTCTGTTGGGAGGCGGAGAGACGAGGCTGCCTGCTCTCGCAGGGATTCTCGGCCTCGGAAGCCCTCTGGGGTGGGTTTCCCCTGTGCTGTGTGCCCCCCTTCCCCGAGTTGGGATCTTCTCAACGGCAGTGGGTTTGGATCCTGGGGTGGGAAAGGGACCCCCAGTGTCGGACCCACCAGCCGTTCGTTCCACAAGAGAAAGATGGGGCAGTGTGCGCTCATTGAGTGTGACAGTTGAGGGGGATGGCCTACTCGACCTACCGGGGCTCCCTGTGAGTGGGTTTGGTTTGGGGGTACCGACGGAAAGGTCAGAGGTACCCAACCCAGAGGTGTATCAGAAGAAAGGGCTGGCTATCTACTCCCCCCACCCCCAAACTAGCCCCTGAAGACCCCACGGAGCACAGTTCTACTCTGACACACTCGGGGTTACCGTGGGTCAAAACCAAGGCCGGGGGCTCAAGGGCACCCACTGAGCGGGCACTCCGTTAACACCTAATAAAAACCAGTGACACATCTGAACTCTGAGCTCATACGAGGGGGTGTCAAAAGTTTGGGGGCAAATCCCATGATCTGCCAGCCCCATTTTCCCCACAAACTCACGGAACCTGCCCCTCCCAATGCCACGTACAAAAACACACCGGCCGCCAACATCAGGGAGCATGGCCGTGTGGGTGTTCAGGGAAGCCCAACTCCACTGAGAACAGAAACAAGGGTGGAAACATGTTTAAAAAGCCGAAACATGTCACTAGCTCGCGTCTCTGAAATCACTTCCCCAGCAAAACGGAGTCTCTGGATGTGGAGAAGCAACTGAACAGGGACTCTGAATGGTGGATACACGAGACAGCGCGACGCCAGACTGACCAGCCTGCCCATCTGCCCTCCTGCCAGCCCTGCGTGCCCACAGGGCGCAGCTCAGGGCACAGTGCTCACTGCCCGTGTGAGACGTGGAAAGGATGTCTGTGGTCAGAGGCCGGGCGGCCAGTTGACGTTTAGTCAATCGCCAGCATGTTCTCAGTCCCTCCCTTGTCAAAAAGAACTTCCAGGGGGGGCCACCTGGACCCTCATCAAGCACTAATCACCTGCTTGCTGCCTGGCGGGTTCTGACTCACAGCGAGCCTCTAGGGCGGAGCAGAACTGCCCTGTGGGTTTCCCAGGTCAGGACTCTTTAAGGGAGCCAGCGGCCTCCCCTTTCTCCGGCAGACAGCCGCAGAGCAGCAGGTGGGTGGTTTGCACCGCTGCTGGCCTTGTGGTGGGCAGGCAGATACGTCACTCGCTAATGCCACTCTCACAAGGGGTGACAGCTTTTCGCACAGGGAAACGCCTTGCCCGCATGCCCACGGCCTGCTGCTGCCCTCTCGAAGGGGGCGCCCTGGAGCCATCTGGAAAGCTCCAGGTGCCATGGCCTTTCCTTGGCAGCAAATCGGGGCTGCTCGAATCAGAGGTCGGGGTTTTAGACCCCGATTTCCTTTACAACCTGACAAAACGGCAGGCAGGCGAGCATGCAGGGCAGTGTCTGGGTGTGGAGCGAGCACGGGGGCAGGGGACGGGAGGGGCAGTTGGCCTCACGCATGCCGCACGCACCTCATTGATGGCTAGCTGCTCCCCGCCGGGCTGCAGGTAACGAGGCGTGGCCTGGCAGAGTTCCTCATAGCTGTAGTCCTCCTCGCTCCCGTTGTCGTCCACTAGGGCTGAGGGCTCAGGACCGCCATCTGCTGAGACTGGAATGAGAGGGGTGGCCCGGCTTCTAAGGCATGGCCAGCGCTGGCTTCTCTTGAGGCCACGCGGCGACACCACCCTCCAGTGGAAGGCAGACGGCTGGTCAGCCACCCCAAGAACGTCTCCTAACATGTCTGTGTCCTGAGGGCCGTGTGGGTGCCAGGACACGGCTATTCCCTGTTTCCGAGAGGGTGGCCAGCAGGTACTTACACGCTCAAGGATCAGGATTGGCAATGAGCAAGGCAGTGGGCTTGGTGGTGGATTTAAACCTGTCCCCCCACCCCCAGTGTGTTTTGAATTCCTGGCAGAGTAGACCTTCTCCAAAGGGGTTCAAAGGCAGTATGCATCTTCACAGACCAGGGATGGATGGCAAGGGGGCTTCAGAAAGTTCGTGGAGTAAAAATGGAAAGGACAGAGCGTGGCATGTCCCCCACAAACTTTCCGACACCCCCCCCTCCTGTGTGATGTAGCAAACAAAACAGAAACCTATGGGGGGAGCTGCAGGGGAGCTCATAAGGATGAGTTAAGAGCGAGGAACATGTTCTACGACGGATTGTGGTGTTGATCCCACACCCTTCTCGATGTGACGGAGCTGCTGAAAGATACGACATGTGAATGATGTGCCCATAAAGCGAATTAAAAAGAACACACCGTAAGTATAGATAATGTTTCCAAGAAATGTGCTAACAGATCTGACAAGGGGGGAGTTCAGACCGTCCAGGAGGAAAGCGAAGTCTTAGGTTCATCGCTTACCTTGCAAGATGATTACTGTATTATTAGCATTCAAAGGTCCTAGTAGCGTGATAAGATAAAACAGATAGTCATTCTTCTCATTTGTTCATAAGCCAGAGGATTACGCGCTCAAGGATCGGGATTAGCAATGAGCAAGGCAGTGGGCTTGGTGGTGGATTTAAACATGCCCCCCCCCCAAAAAAAGAGTGTGTTTTGAATTCCTGCCACAGAGCAGAACTGCTTCAACAGCAGTACGCATCTTCACGGGGCAGACCGCCTCCTCGCGCTCCCCCAGGGCTGCCGGTGGGTTTGGGTAGCAGCCCGGTCTATGTGGCATTGACTTGGTGGCAGTGGGCTTGGTGGCTCTGTTTTGTGTTGATGGGTGTGGTCTTGTTTGGAAATGAGGGTTTTCTTTCCCCGTGTGGCTGAAGCCAGGCTGCTGCTGGGTGGAGCCCAGACCCGATCACTTCTGAGTTCTGTAAGGAGCAGACTGGACCCAAAACGCACATGAGGGCAGGCAGACACCACTCTAGGGCCGTCTATCAACTACAGCACCAGGTGACTCAGACAAGCACCTTTACCAGAAAGAGACAGGTGTGTGTGTGTGTTTAAAACACTGATGTTTTATTTATTTCAAGCATCACACATAGATAACCATCCTAAAAAAAACAATACAATAACACACAAAATCAATTTGTCTACCTTGATGTTAGGTCTCCTTTAAGCAATAAGCAGCAGCCCTGGTGGCACAGTGGTTCTCTGCCGGGCAGTTCAAAACTTATCAGCTGCTCCACTGGGAGAAAGAGGCGGCTTTCTCCGCCCATAAAGGGTGACAGTCTCAGAAACTCACCGGGGCAGCTCTACCCTGTCCTATCGGGTTCGCCGAGTCACAAATGTCTTGATGGCAGTGAGTTTTCGTTGTTGTCTGAAGCAGGAAGCAGCCTTGGTGGCACAGTACATAGTGTGCTGGGCTGCTAGCTGCAAGTTCAGCAGTTTGAAACCACCGGGCGTTCTGAGGGAGAAAGAGGAGGCTTTCTACTCTTGCAACAATTTCTAGTTTTGAAATCCACAGGAGCCCTTTTACTCCAACCTACAGGGTAGCTGTGAGGAGGCAACGGCTCGATGGCAGAGAATTTATGTTGGTTTTGCAGCAGCAAGGAGAGAACGATGCTGTCTTAAATCCTGACCAGAGCTGAGGGCATGGAAGTCGAGTGAACAGACTAGGTTATAGGAATGGGATGACACATGGCCTCTTCTCCAAACAAGAGAAAGCTGGACTTTTAAGTTTATCTTGTGCTGCGTAGGTGCTCTGGAGCGTGCTCTGCCTCACAGCGACCCTGGAATGAGAAACGGCCTTGTCCCCTGCCACGCTCACTACCTTTCCTGTGTGTGAGCCCTGTTGCAAGCCCTGTGTCAATCCCTCACGCTGAGGGCCTCCCTCGTTCCTGCTGACCCTCGACTGTACCCCGAGCACGAGGTCCTTCTGCAGGGACCGGCCCCTCCTGATGACAAGTCCAACGCTATTGTGAGCTGAAGTCTCTCCATCCTGGCTTCTAGGAGCAGTCTTCCAACACAGATGTTTGCTTTCCTAGCAGCCCACCGCACATCTTTAATAGTCCTTGTCAGTACATAGCCGAGAGGCAGCCGTTCTCCCTCGGGTTTCCTTACTCGTTGTTCAGTTGTTAAACGCACACGAGGTGAGTGAAAAAACCACGGGTTGGGTTAGGCACTGCGATAAATGGCGAAGGAGCTGGCTTCCCTATTGCTGCGAGGCCGGGGTCAGGCATGCCTACCCGCTCCATTCTTCGCCAACCGTTCCTCCCCTGCCACTCGGCATCGCTTTTGGGTTTGGTAATTCGTTGAATTGGCCAAACAGAACCCACAGACATTAACGCACAATTAAATGGGTTTATTAGGGAAGTTAATGGGTGACCATAAATCAGGATCCGCATACAGCAAGGGTACAGTTTGCTGATACCTGGGGTCTGCTGAGTCAGTAGCTGCATCTCTCTGATTCTCAGTCTCACAGCCACCTGGTAGCCACGTCTCTCCGGTTCTTAGTCTCTCAGCCGTGTGGTTCCTTGGCCTTTCCCTCTATGGGCCAGGAAGCAAGCCTGCCTGTCACTCCGTCCACGGTTCCATAGTCTCCAGCCAGATAAGGTGAAGGTCGCCAGTCAGGGCCACAGTCTGTGATGTACCTGGTCTCAGCAAGCCTCCATCACTTCAGAAGTTTTGAACCTGCTCTTCCAAGGTCCCCTGGGTTTCTCTCTTCTCTGCCGCTATTTCAAACCTGGCTCTTCCTTACAGCCAGGGCATTGGTAATGAACCAACTGATCCCCTCTATTAAGGATTACACGGCGCTATCCCATCATTTGGTTACAGAGGCTTGGGTAGAAAAGCCAGGTTAAGAAATTTTGCTCCCCCACAGACACGCATTAGACTTCAAAGTGACATTTCTACACCCTCTCACTGTAAAGAGATCTTTTGCAGCCGTTTTGCCCAATGAAATGCAAGTTTTGATATTCCGACTGCTGCTTCGGTGAGCCCTGATGGAGGATCCACTGAAAACAAACCATTTGAGAACTTCCATCTTTTCTCCCTCTATCGGCGTTGCTGATTGTTCCAGCTGTAAGGAAGTCTGTTTTATACTGAGATGTAATCCACATTGAAGGACGAGTAAGTACTTCAAGTGCCCACTGCTTTAGGGAAGCGGGTTGTGTCTCCTGTGTATCACAGGTTGTGTAACTGGGTTTTCTTCCCAAGCCTGATGCCAAGTTCATTTGCCCGCCTTCTCGGATGGTATGTTCACCATACAGGAAGACCGTGAACGGTACGATCTTGCAACACACAGTCCCTAACCACACAGTGTCCCCTTGTTCTGTGGGAATGGCTGCTTCCTGGTCCATCACACCTGGGCTGCAGAGTCTGGGGGAAATGTCCATCGTCTTTTCATTTCATTTCCCCAGGACTTCTTGAACCCCCTAAGTATGTACGGGTTCTGCAGGAGGGAAAACAAAGCGTTCTGGAACCCAGGATCTCCGCAATGCTCTCTGTTAGGATCCACACAGTGGAAGGAGCCCCTTCGCGTCATCAATGAAACGCCGGTGTTCTGTTTTCAGTCAAGGTCTACCTGATGCTGGCAACGATGTCCCTCATGCCGCATTGTGTTAGTCCCGGCAGACTAGAGAAACAAATCCACAGAAACTCCTATGTATGTAAGAGAGGGTTTCATATAAAAGGTAATTGTACATTAAGAAAGCATCTCAACCCAGTCCAGTCCAAGCCCATAAGTCCAATATTAGCCCATATGTCAGATACCAATCTATAAAGTCCTCTTCAGACTCACAAAACATATGCAATGACACCGAATGCAGGACGATCCAGTGGCGTTGTAAGCATCTCAGCGCTGGCAGGGGTCTCTACGTGACTTCTCCAGCTTCAGAGGTCTGGTTGCATCAGGGTAGGTCCCTGTGGCTTCTCCAGCTCAGGGCACGAGCGTAGTTCCATGTGTCTTGTGAGCTGCAATGTCTCCCAGAGATTGTCTCCAGCCTCCAAGGAGGAAACCAGGATTTCCCAGAATTCTCAGGAGAAGGCCATGCCCACAGAGAGGCCTCCCTGGCTGTGATCCCATTGACAGCCTAGACGCCACCCCTTCACTCGTAATCCTCTCAAATTGACACCAGAGTATGTCACTACCATGCACATCCTCTTCTGAATTCAGCTCGAATTGCTGGCCGCTCCCTGCTGATGTACGGCTGCCATCTTTTTGGTGTGTGTACTCAATTCTTCTTTTTATTTTTTTATATCACTTGATTGGGGGCTCATGCAGCTCTTATCACAATCCATACATCCATCGGTTGTGCCAGGCACATATGTACATTTGCTGCCGTCATCCTTTCTACTTGAGCCCTGACTGCCATCGTTTTTGAGCGTTACTTGCAAGCCTGTGATACGAAGGAAGAGTGCTCAGCGCTCCCGCATGCTGTTGGGTCACCTTTCTCTGGACTGGGCGTACTATGGACCTCTCCTGGGCACTTTCGCCCCGTAGCTGTCTTCCTAATTTCTTAAGCATAATGAGCGCGCACCCCTACATGTCACTTGAGATTCCATCTGCTCCTCATGCCTCTTGGCTCACCAACGCCTTCAGTGCGGCTTAGACGTCTACCTCCAGGAACGTCTGCATGTTCCACTGGCAAAGCTCTGGTTTTCCTGACCTCTGACCCTTCCATCTTTGCTTGAGAATAATGGTTCACCAATTGGCTTCATATTT